ATGTAGTTCAGTTTTCTGCAGCTGAAATGCATTTTCTGACAGTCAAGTAAGTGGCTTGTATTCAGATTTGACACATATATTGCAACAACAGAAAAATGGCACTAAAAGGTACCCCAAAGCCTTAAGACAAGCATTTATTGTATGACTATGCCTCAAATTGTACTAAAGAAATGTAATTTGGACAGTTCAGAGCTACTGTAATTAAATACTACTACATATGGAATTAACACTTTGCATCAAATTCTACATCGAAGTGCCAAAGTATTAGAGAGTTTAGAATGTTAGATATTCTTCAGCTGTTTGTCTCAGGGGATCCCACATCCCACAGTGATAGCATTCCACTCTTCTCTCATAATTCTATGAAGGCTGCAAAGAGTAGCAAATTCCCAGAAGTGCCATCACCTCAGATGTGCTTGCTATGTACTCCTCCTGTATCACAATATTAACCTCTTTATATTTATCACATTAACACTAGGGAGCTCAGGTCCCCTACCCTGATGTTAACATAGCATCAGAGTCATTTGAAGTCAAAGGCCACAGATTTAATAACAACTAATCAGTCACTAAAAACATTGATTTGCCCACACTGTGTGCTGAGTTACACACATGCAAGTGTACTGACTTCAGTGGAGTTTCATGGGTATAATTCAGGGCAGATTTGACCCATTGAGTCTAAGTTTATGTAACTCACACAGCAAGAGGCCACATGGAAAGAAGTGGAGGGTGTCAGTTCAAGTAGCTCCACCTGCATTCAGACTTTTAATATTTTCACACATTCTTCCAACCCCTCAGCATGTAAGTTACACCAATTTAGGCTCTTTAAAAGGATAGCTGGGGCCCCACTGGAGCTCTGCTGGAAGGTGCATTGACTCTCCACATATCCTTGACTCTTTGACCACACTCCGTACTGCCAAGTGCTGTCTACTTTCAGGGCTGCAACTAGTAGATGAAAGCTTCAGGAGCCTTGTAGCCCTTTTACTTCACTTTCACCACTGAGGGCCTAGAATCTACAAGTGGTAACCAACCAGCACAGTGAGCCTCTAACATCAGTTTAGACTCTTTCGCCCACTAATCAATATATGAAACAACACCACCTGACTCTAGATACGGGTGACAAGTTTAGTTCCAGCAACTCAGTCACCATGTTGGATCCTGACAACAATACATTTGAACCAATCCAGACACACAAACAAAACAGTCAGCACTACTACCTTCAGTTATCTTGATATTTTAAGAAAATATTGTACTTTTTAAACCCATCCACACAAACAGCAGGGTCTGTAGGAATTATCCCATGAACAAAGTTTTAATGACTTGTAACTTTTAGCTTAGTGAGATTGGCCACCTGAGCCAGCACTTGGCTTCTCATCTGGAAACATTTATAAATCTTAGTGAAGACATTATCCTTCCAGAAACCAACTCTGCACAATGTCACAGTCTCAGTAATGCGCTGTTTGTCATTAAATCAGGAGGGCTTTCAAAGCCATTGGAGAGTCTCCTAAAGTTCTGCAGCATTTTTTGACATGTGAGGGCATGTGGTGTGCCCATGGAAAGCAGAGTTCAAATGATCTAGGACGGAAGTTCAAATAATCTACAAATGGTTACTTACTACCAAAAGGGAATGAATGACAAAAAAGGGAGCACCATCTATTGGGTGCATATACAGAAAGTAATTTCCCTGGAGCGGATACCACAAAAAACATCAACGATATATGTTTGCTGGCAACAACGAAATGCCAATTTTGCTTTTTGCCATTATGGTGCCTTTACCATAACCTCATGGACCTTATTATTTATAGCGTATTAGTTCCTACAATGTCGCTAGATGCTTTAGAAAAACAATTGCTACCATGTGGTGGCTGGCACCGTGCAAACTGCCCCCACCAATGTGCCCCAGGGATTGGGGAAAGCAGATTAGGACTTCCCGGGGGTTGAGCCAACCCCTAGAACATCAGGGACTTCCCCAACAACACCTGAGAGCAGCGGTAGAGCAGTGAGCTCAGTCTAAATTCTTAAAGGAATTAAAATTCTTCTCTTGCTCTCAGTTGCTCAAGGAAAAGCCTTTCTTTGCATGAGCTCAGGAGGCTGTATACTTTGTTCTCTCTCCCTCCTGCATCCCCCTGCAGTTTCTGCAACCTTTTCAAGTACAGTAACTCCTCACTTAACGTTGTAGTTACATTCCTGAAAAATGCGACTTTAAGTGAAACGATGTTAAGCGAATCCAATTTCCCCATAAGAATTAATGTAAACGAGGGTTAGGTTCCAGGGAAATTTTTTTCAAAAGACTATATTATATAGGAGGGCTTTCAAAGGGCTTTTATATATATATATACATATATACATATATATATATATATATATATATACACACAGATACACACACACACACACACACACACAGTATAAGTTTTAAACAAACAATTTAATACTGGTACACAGTGATGATGATTGTGAAGCTTGGTTGAGGTGGAGGAGTCAGAGGGTGGGATATTTCCCTTACTGCTAAATGATGAACTAGCAATTGGCTGAGCCCTCAAGGGTTAACTCTCTCACTTTACAAGGCGTCAGGAATGGAGGGAGATATGCGCAATTCCCCTTTAAGTACACTGCCTTGGTAATTAGATCAGCTTGTTGAGACTGCAGCTGCTGCAAGCTCCCTCGGTCCTGAGTGTCCCCCCTGCTCTATGGAAGATGGGGTAAGTGGGGTGCAGGAGCAGGGGGAGGGGGACACCCTGACATTAGCCCCCCCGCTCCCCTAAGTTCCCTGTGCAGCAGCTGCCTGCAGTTCAGCTGTGTCCCTCCCCCCACTGCCATGTGCTGCTCCTGTCCTCTGCCTTGGAGCTGCTCCCCCAGACTCCTGCTTGCTGTGCAGGGGGGAGGGACACAGCTGAACTGCAGGCAGCTGCTGCACAGGGAACTTAGGGGAGCGGGGAGCTGATAGGGGGAGCTGATATGGGGGCTGCCAGTCCACCCTGGTTCCAAGCCCCCACCAGCTAGCTGCAATGGGCTGCTCTTCCTGCAAGCAGTAGACAAAGCAGGCGGCTGCCAAACGACGTTAGAAGGGAGCATTGCGCAACTTTAAACGAGCATGTTCCCTAATTGATCAGCAACGTAACAACGAAACAACGTTAACCGGGACGACTTTAAGTGAGGAGTTACTGTACCTGACATGTTTTCCTACATTTTTGTTTTTGGGCATTGTCTTTTCCAAAATTGAATTTTTAAATATTTTTGACTCTTGAGTACACGTAATAGCTGATGTTTCTGCCCTGAGCCTTCTCTTTGCTCACTGTTTAAATTCACTCTGTTCCTGATAGTTATTCCAGCATCAGGGTGTGATTAGTTTATTTAGAGCATATTCTGTTGTATAAGAGCCCTGAACTTGACAAATGGTATCAGATCAAAATTAGCCCACTAAATGGTAACTTCAGAATGAAATAAACAAGCATTAATGTTTGGAGGCCAGTAGATTTCAATCATTTTGCTAGATCTAGTACCAAATGCCAACAAAACTTTGGTTTAGTGAAAGAGTTTTGAATAAGCTGAAGTTTCTTACTTATTCTTCTCAATTTTATCATCTTGCGAGCTAAAAAATATACACTACAACATTAAGAAGATGATGTAAGAAACTTATTTGAGACCAAATTCTATTCTCTATTATGCTGGTATAAATCTGGAACAACTCAGTTAGCTCCAGTGGTGATATGCTGCTGTAAATGAGAGCAGAATTTGACCCACTGCAAACAAAAAAATCAACTTTTTGGTCTGGAAAAAAAATTCTTGAAGCAATTCCCCCCGCATCCCACCCCCTAATTTTTCAGTATAGGCAGCAAATTAAAAAAAAATCAGTTATTCACACAGCTCTACTGTTTAATGACATTCAGCAAGGGTAGCTGGAAGCCTCTTAGATTAGAAAAAAATCTGATTTGCTGAGCTCATTTGACCAGCAATTATGCTGTATTGTGGTCCCATGAGATGAGCAGAGTTAATATTTGAATAGGAGACCTCCAGGGAAAACCCTGATACTGTAGAAAGTACTGCTGGTGATTCAGTAGGTGGCACTGTTTCCTCTGAGTCAGTAGTGAACTAGTGCCCCAGCCTGGTGCGAAGAAGCATCATGTTCTTGGGAGGTACACTCAGGGCATGTCTACAGATCAGCACTGCTACAATCGATGCAGCGAGTGTCGTTTTAGTGGGTCTTGTGAAGACATGCTAAATCGATGGGAGAGCACGCTTCCATCAATTTGTGTACTCCACCTCCCCGAGAAGCGTAAGGGAAGTCAACAAGAGATGCTATCCCGTCGACACAGCGCAGTGTAGCCACTGCGGTAAGTGGATCTAACTACTTTACTTCAGTTACGTTATTCATGCAACTGCAGTTGCGTAAGTTAGATCGATTTACCGTGGTAATGTAGACCAGTCCTCAGGTTCTTTTTAATGTTGCATCTGAGATCCTTGCCACATGTCATCATTAGAGATTCCATAGCACTTCTTTCTTTTTGCCCTTGTCAAATTCTACCTAGGATAATTACATTCTGCCTACCTACATTTTCCCTGCAAATTCAGTTGGATTCAGTATTCAGGCAAAATTCTGCTCTGTTACACCTTCCATTCTTCGTGTTGTTATACACTCTTAAAAACAGTTGTTGTTTGTCACCCGGTGGCTACAATTCAGTGTTGAATAAAAGGATTTCTACATACACCTCTACTCCAATATAACGCGACCCGATATAACACGAATTCGGATATAACGCGGTAAAGCAGTGCTCCGTGGAGGGCGGGGCTGTGCACTCCAGTAGATCAAAGCAAGTTCGATATAACGTGGTTTCACCTATAACGCGGTAAGATTTTTTGGCTCCCAAGGACAGCATTATATCGAGGTAGAGGTGTATATAGTTAGTGAATCAGTTGGAACGTGCACTGGGATCCTCCTCGATAAAAGGCACTACATAAAATCATTATAATGTGGGAAAAAACATGAAAAGGATTATATTTCTCACCTCCCATCAAACCTGTGCTTCAGGAAGTCAAAGAGGGCTTTCTGCATCATGTCTGTTACCTTTGCAGAGGTGAGGAAGATTGAACAAAGAGGATTGACAGGGAGAGAAAGAAGTCAAAAGTAAGAAAAGAGGTAGAAGGTAAGGACATTTCCAATAATCAGTGTCCTTTACATAGATAGTAATCATTTAATTGTAGTGCTATCATCAACGAGCTCTCATTCAAACACATCTGGCAGCTGCAATTTATATCTATACAGATGGAATAAATACTTCATTATAAAGGTTTTCTAGTTTTCTGAAACATACTCCAAAGTGCTCATATGCGGGAGTGTTCTAACAGCAATGGTTAACATCTTCACAATGAGATGTATGGGCAGAAAATGGATCTGGATCCTATTACCACATATGGGCAAAATCCTGAGAGATGCTGAGCATCTGTAACTCCCACTGACTTGTTGAACTCTTTAGCCCTTTCAGAGTAATTCAGACTGCCACCCATAATCTGCCAGTCTAGATTGTAACCAATTCAAGACCCTGAGTCTCTGGCAGTTTATTTCTCAAAAATTATACTTTTCACATGCCTCTTGCACACTTTCATCAGAAAAAGTGTGCAAAGAACTTTCCCATATAGATTACATAGGGATTACAAATGTGTCTCTCTCTATATTTTTCTAACTGAAGGAAATATCCTAATTCCATCACCATTTAACTGGATACTTTATGCACCTAAAAGGTATTTCATTTCCAAGGAGTCTTTTTTTTCCAGGAGAGATTCTGTGTGTCTAATTTGTGGCATGTTGTATATTTAAACCAGCAAAGGAAACCCCTCCAAATTTGAGAGTCCTTGGACCAAATTCATTTAGGCTGCAGTACCACTGAAGTCAATTCAGTTATGCCAAGGAAGAATTTTTACCCCTTTGGGGAAAGCTACCATGTAATTAAAAGACAGATATTAGAAAATGAGATACAGTAGAGCCTTTCTAATTCTCACTTTGCTAATCTGCAAATCCAATAATTCTCACCCAAAAAACCTGATTCAAGAGCAGAGTGCTGCACTAATAATAGCACCATGCTGTCATATTACTAATACTTCACTACTTTTATAAAATATATTACAATACTTTTACTCATATACTGTGAAGTATTATCAACAGTCATTAAACTAAGTGAAGTGTAACTGATTATATCTTCATACTCCTTTTTGACCCAATTCAGCAAAGCACTTTATGTGCTTAACTTTCAGCACATGCTAACATTGCTTTCCTGAATAGGATGGATTTACACCTGTGCTTAAAGTTAAGCATGTGTTCAAATGCTTTCCTAAATCTGGATCTTACTTGCTAATTTTCAGAATTTAATAATGAATGTCCTGGTTAACTGTGCATATTAGTGAGGCTTTGCTGTACAGGTCTGTCTCATCTTACGCGGGGGTTCCGTTCCGCAGTTAGCGCGTAAAGCGAAAACCGTGTATAGCCAAAACCCCATTGAGTTCAATGGCGGGCGGAATCGCCCGCACTACAGGTATAGTATTAAAACTGTTGTTTTTCTCTTTTTTGTTGTTGTTTTTTGTTTTTGCCGACTGCGTAAAGTTGAAATCGCGCATGTTAAATGCGCGTAAGATGCGACAGACCTGTACATATTGTTATACTGAATAGAGGGTGATTGTTTAGGTGGGCTAGGATTCTCTTCAGCCTTAAATTTCTATGCAATAACTTAAAAAAAAACAAAGCACCCCATACACTTCAGTAATAGTGATGGGTTCACAAGATCAGCGCCTGGAGTAGGAATGTAGAAATTACCACACTGGAGCTGACCAATGCTGCAGCTAGTCTAGTCTCTCCAGTACCAGGCATTTCATAGGAAGATGTAAAATTCTCATAATGCATGATTATGGCATAATATGGCATCAGTTAGGTCTTGTCAACACACAGGAAACTTGCACTAGTTTAACTAAGGTCACATGAGAAAGTTGCACTGGTTTAACTTAAACAACGAGGAGTACTTGTGGCATCTTAGAGACTAACAAATTTATTTGGACATAAGCTTTTGTGGGCTAAAAGCCACTTCATCAAATGCATGGAGTGGAAAATACAGTAGGCAGGTATAAATACACAGTACATGAAAAGATGGTATTTGCCTTACCAAGTGGGGGGGTAAGTGCTAATGAGACAATTCAATTAATGTGGAAGTGGGCTATTCTCAATAGTAGAATACCAAGGGAGGAAAAATCACTTTTGTAGTGGTAATGAGGCCAATGTAATCAGGGTGGCCCATTTCAAACAGTTGACAAGAAGGTGTGAGTAACAGTAGGGAGACAATTAGTTTTTGTAGTGACCCCTCCAATCCCAGTCTTTATTCAGGCCTAATTTGATGGTGTCCAGTTTGCAAATTAATTCCAGTTCTGCAGTTTCTCGTTGGAATCTATTTTTGAAGTTTTTTTGTTGAAGAATTGCCACTTTTAAGTCTGCTATTGAATGTCCAGGGAGATTGAAGTGTTCTTTGACTGGTTTTTGAATGTTATAATTCTTGATGTCTGATTTGTGTCCATTTATTCTTTTGCGTAGAGACTGTCTGGTTTGGCCAATGTTCATGGCAGAGGGGCACTGCTGGCACATGATGGCATACATCATATTGGATGTGATGTTAAACTGATTTAGTCAAATGGGTGCAAAAGGCTGAATAGCCACACTTATTTAAACCAGGCTTATTTGTATTTAGCATAAATCTACTAGGAATATTTAAGATAAACCAGAATAAAAATATCGACACAGGCTGTTGCATCAGTTTAACTAACTTGTTCTAAAGGCTGATTAGTGCAACGTCTGCGTGGTGTGTGTGTGTGTGTGTGTGTGTGTGTGTGTGTGTGTGTGTGAGAGAGAGAGAGAGAGAGAGAGAGAAAGAGAAAGAGAGACTAGAAAATAGTAATTAAATGTAACTAAATAGAATAGATACCTCATAACCTTTCAGCGACGGGCCAACTAACACAACAGGCCTCATGGATGGCACTACATCATAAGGAGGAACATGTTCCGTCTGAAAGAAGAAAATGTCCCATCAGCACATAATCTAAAACAGACTCAGCATGCAAACTGTAGAAACTATGTAGTAAAATACACTTACCACTTTTTGTTTCTGTTTTGCTAAAAGACCAAAAACAAGAACTTTATTAACTTGCATACTGCACATAATGCAATAGTCACAAGATTAGCAAACAAAGATCACTCTGTCAATGCACTTATTATTTGTATTTCTGCATCTCCTTTCTGATCAGTATTAGTCACTACCCTTCTGAGGGAGTCTGCCAGCTTTTCTGGTTCTTTTCTCCAGCTCTCTACATGACCGATACATTTAGAAGCAAATATTTTTTTCTTCTCCTCCAATTATTTTGGGGAAGGTTTGAACAAATAAGCATTTATCTATGGGATATTTTTATAAATTAGTAATAAGAGGGTGTGGAGAAGCCCTTTATTTTATTTTATTTTATTTGCTACTTTTAAGGTAAGTTTAAGAAAGAGTAATAGTTTTCCTTATATAAAATCCAAAATTCACCTGTGGAAGTGGGTGTAGCTCTAAATGTGCCAGACACCATTTCTCCAAGACTCGAAGAAGAATTTCCACTTGATTTCCTACAGCATTACAAAGAGTGCCCATTAACACAAAGTATTCTGAGAGTAAACTCACAAGGCCCTGCAGCTCCTATTCCAGCCTCAGAGATGCTGCACTGCTACCTCCAGGGCCTGCCTAAAGGTTGGGAGGAGGAGAAATTACATCCCATATGCCCCTGCTTAATTCACCACGCAGTCATATGATCAGAGAAGGGCGAGTTCCATCACTTGGCCCCAGTGATACAAAAGGAATTCACCTACACAGATTCCCATAATCTGATATTCTCTTTTACTGTGCATCCGTCCCAGTTAGGTACCTCTCTCTCCAAACATCAAGGCACAAGGGCTAACACTCAGCTATTTCAAGCTGTAAAAGCAATTTGGATAAATCAGAGCTGATGTTGTTCAATTATTCTAGAAACATTTCCCCAGATAATTTACTCTTGAAATGATTCCTGAGGTTGATTAAGTAAATTAGTATGGCAATTCCCTGCCATTACTTTATAGACTAAATTATGCTCCTCACTTTTGCCATCTATTATGGCTAGATTCAATCATCTCACCTTTCTTTCCTTTACAATGAAGTATCATTATCTGCATGCACCCTCTCATCAGTGTTAGTAGGAGTACCATGATTAAAGTAAGTCTGTTGTTTGGGTATTTAGCCAGTGGATGGTGACATGTTCACACACACAGGGCCGGCTCCAGGCATCAGCCCACCAAGCTTGTGCTTGGGGCGGCACCTGGAGGGGGGCGGCGCGGCGCTCCGGCTCCGTCCGCCAGGGAAAGCGGAGCCGCAACGGGCTCACCACCCTCCCCCGGCGCTCTGGCCACTGGGGAGAACGGAGCCGCGGCGGGCTCGCCGCCCTCCCCCTGGCGCTCTGGCCGCCGGGGAGAGCGGAGCCCCGGCCGGGCTCGCCGCCCTCCTCCCGGCACTCTGGACACCGGGGAGCCACCCTCCTCCCGGGGCTCCGGCCGCCAGCGGAGCCGCGGCGGGCTCGCCGCCCTCCCCCCGGCGCTCCGGCCAGTTGGGGAGAGCGGCCCGCAGCCGGGCTCGGCGCCCTCCCCTGCCGCGCTGGGGCGGGGGGGGGGGGACGGCGGCGGGAGGCTTTTTTGCCTGGGGCGGCAAAAAAGCCAGAGCCGGCCCTGCACACACAGTAGGCAGGCCTCACAGTGATTAACTGTCAGAGCTGTGGCTCTCCGGCCTGTACTCAAGCCTGTGTTAACTAAGGGTATGTCTTCACTACCCACCAGTGGGCAGCAACCGATCCAGCGGGGATTGATTTATTGTGTCTAGTCTAGATGCGATAAATCGACCCCCAAGTGCTCTCCTGTCGACTCCTGTACTCCACCACCTCGAGAGGCGCAGGCACAGTCGACGGGGGAGCGGCAGCAGTCGACTCACCGCAGTGAAGACACCACGGTAAGTTGATCTAAGTACGTCGACTTCAGTTACGTTATTCACGTAGCTGAAGTTGCGTAACTTAGATCGATCCTCCCCCCAGTGTAGACCAGGGCTAAGAGACGTGCACCATTTAGGCCTAGGGGTGGAGAGACGAGGAGGAGACAGGCTGGGGATGAAAGTGGAGAGGCAACCTGAGGCGAGAAGCAGTGGAGCGGCCGGAGTGCAGTCTCTCTCAAAGAAAGGGTTGCAATGAGATAGGAGTGCTGCAACACTGTCTCTGTGCTGTTCCCAACGTGCCAATTTAGTGGTGAGTCAGAATGAAAAGAGTATGAGGCAAAATCTTAGGGCCCATGAGTGATCACTGATTTGATCTAACCCTTCATGGGCTCAGACTGCTTGTCCTCCAGAACCCTCCACACTTTAGTCCACATCCTGAAGGACTCATTTTTCAAAGTTTATCCCTGTAGTTTTCCTGTCCCTCGTATTCAACATCAGAGACAGTGAGAGATCTAGGATGCCTGCTACTTTCTGCAAACGTGTATATTTTAACCCACTGTCCATTTTGGTATATGAATACAAAACCATTTTTAGACAAGAGGAGATTGAGGAAAACATTAAAACAAATCAGCTGAACTTCAAATATTGCCCAGTGTTTGTTGCATTTTGAAATGGCTAAGGACAGTCTTACCCTCCATGGAAACGTCCTCTCTTCTGCTCCTGCTGAATTCGGATATTCTCCAGCCGAAGTGGGCTTGGAATGAAGCCAATCTCACAGCCCTCTTTAACCAGCCTTCCTATCCACCAGTCGTTATTATATTTCTGTAACACAGAAAGATTATTGTGCCATACTGAGAGCTCTTAAGACTGAAGACTTGTATGTGCCCACAGAACAGGTACAGCCCAAGCTGTGTCAGTACAGGTTTCTCTCTGAGCTTTCTCAGCCTTGACATGGAGTGTCAAATTCTGTATTCACTCTCTATGTCCAGGCATGACTTTTCTGCTGACACCATCAACAAATATGCAAACTGGTGCCAAGGGTAATGGTAGTTTGGGAGAGTGGTCTACTATCTAACACCCTAATCACTGGACCATCTTTCCTCTATCTTGACTTCAGTTTATTTGCAGTCATATACCCTAGAAACGGCTAAACCATTTGGATATATTTTTTAATGAAGTTAAGAAATTTTACTTCCAGAGACTTTAATACATTTCTTAAAGCATCATTTTATTGTATTGTTAACTTTTGTTAACAATACATTAATTTAATTGAAAGTTTGGCCCAATCTAAACTACAGTGATATAAAGAGTGATGCCATAAAGACAAAAGATTTGTTGCAACTATCTGGTGACAGGACTTTTTAAGCAAGCTCTTTTGAAGATTTACAATTTGTTCTCCTCATTTAGGTCCTTATAAATTGAGCAGATTATATTTTTTAGCAATTTTGTAATTTTCTAAAAAATTGCAATCATTTTTTGGCAAGAGCTCTTGGCACCATATTTCCAAAGGAATATTAGTTTTCCTAGAGAGGTTATACATAATAAAAGCCAGTGTGTATCAATCCCATTTTAATACTTTCAGAAAAAAATAAATCAAAGATTTGTTTGCAAAATGGGTGAGGAAGAAGCCAAATATATACCCCCATCTCTCTAAATTATCAGTTCCCTGGCCCCAAACTCTCAGGCCCTTAAATTCATTCTTGGGCAACAAAATAAATAAATTCTAAAGCTCCTATTTGAAGTCAATGAGATCTGCACAGGCTCAAGACCAATTAAAAAAAATCAGACCACTTATTTAGGGGCCCAACTTTAGGCTCTCAAATTTGAAAGTTCAGCCTCAATAACTTCCTAGCAAAAGTATATTTTTTCCTCACCTTCCATACAAGTTTTTCTGTGGTTTGCATTATCCTTTGTTATATACTATTATGATATGCTAGTTTAAGAACATAAGAATGGCCATACTGATCAGACCAATGGTCCATCTAGCCCAGTATCCTGTCTCAGACAATGGTCCATGCCAGAGCTTCAGGGGGAATGTACAAAACTGGGAAATTATGGAGTGATCCACCCATCTTCCACTGTTGGCTTCTGGTAGTCAGAAGTTTAGAACAGTCTTGCACGTGGGGTTACATCCCTGACCATCTTGATGGACATATGTCTATGAACTTATCCAGTACTTTTTTGAACGCAGTTATACTTTTGGCCATCACAACATCCCATGGCAATGAGTTCCACAGATTAATTGTGCATCACGTGAAATAGTACTCCCTCTTGTTTGTATGAAACCTGCTATCTATTAATTTCATTGGACGACCCCTGGTTTTTGTATACTATTCTATTCACTTTTTCCACATCATTCATGATCTTATAGACCTCTATTATATCATCACCCAGTCATCTCTTTTCTAAGCTGAACAGCCCTAATCTTTTCAGTCTTTCCTCATATGGAAGCGGTTCCATACCCTTGATAATCTATGTTGCCCTTCTCTGAACCATTTCCAGTTCCACTATTCCCTTTTTGAAATGGAGTGACTGGAACTGGACAGAGTATTCAAGGTGTGAGTGCACCATGGATTTATATAATGATTTTAAGATATTTTCTGTCTTATTTTCTATCCCTCGCTTAATAGTTCCTAACATACTGTTAGCCTTTTTGACTGCTACTTGGAATTATTTTTTCAAATGTGTGTTATTTTGCACTTATCAATGATGAGGTTAATCTGCCATTTTGTTGCCCAGTCACCCAGTTTTGTGAGATCCCTCTGTAACTCCTTGGAGTCTGCTTTGGACTTAACTATCTTGAATAATTTGGTATCGTCTGCAAATTTTCCCACTTCACTATTCATCCCTTTTTCCTGATCATTAATTAATATGTTGAACAGCACAGGTCCTTGGGTGACCCTGCTGTTCACCTTTCTCCATTGTGAAAACAGACCATTTATTCCTGTCCTTTGTTTCCTACCTTTCAACCAGTTACCTTCCCTCTTATTCCATGGCTACTTAGTTTGCTTAAGAGCCTTTGGAGAGAGACCTTGTCAAAGGTATTCTGAAAATCCAAGTACACTGTACTGACTGGATCCCCTACTCCACATGCTTGTTGGCCCCCTCAAAGAATTAGATTAGATTGGAGAGGCATGACTTTCCTTTACAAAAGCCAGGTTGACTCTTCCACTCTTCCCCAGCAAATTGTGTTGATCTGTGTGTCTGAAAGTTCTGTTCTGTTTTTACCAATTTGCCCAGTACTGAACTTAGGCTCACTGGCCTGTAATTTCCAGGATCTCCTCTGGAGCTCTTTTTAAAAATTAACATTACATTAATTACCTGCCAGTCATCTAGGATAGAGGTGATTTAAGTGATAGGTTACATACCAGAGTTAGTAGTTCAGCAATTTCATATTTGAGTTTCTTCAGAACTCTTGGGCAAATACCGTCTGGTCCTGGTGACTTATTACTGTTTAGTTTATCAATTTGTACGAAAACCTCTTCTACTGAGGCATCAATTTGGGACAGTACTTCAGATCTGTCACCCCAAAAATAGCTCTGATGTGGCTGTCTTCCCAACATCCTCTGCAGTGGAGACTGATGCAAAGAATTCATTTCAGAAACTGTAGACTGAACTACAAGACCCTACGTCCTGGGAATCTCACAAATAAATCACCAACTAAAGTACCAGACAACCATTTTAAATTGATCTTGTTCCTGGCTGTCCATTTTAGAGTAACATCCACAACTTTTGCCATCTTCAGATGGATTGTTACGGATAAAAACATCTGTGCGGGGAAATGTACAAAGTTCTGCATATATAATGTTTTGCATCAACAATAAAATGGGCTATATTAGAATTTGTTTTAGAAATTCGTAACATACAATGAAAATATTTGTGTATTGGTAGGAAAAGGGAGAATTGTCATTCTGGTAAATTCCGAGGGATTACAACTAGGAGCTGTTTGGCAAGAGAACATTTCAAAAATCACAGGACTGTAAAGCACAGATGGGAGAACCTCAAAAGGCTCCAAGCCGAAGTGGTATCAGGCCCCCTAAAATCAACCCGCAGCATATATGGATGAATCTTGTTTTGCAAGTTCTAGGCCTGCATATATGTGTGCAAAATAACATGTTGCACATGCACATTTTGTGGGTTCACTTTAGGAAGCCCAAAGAAAATTTGCAGGAAATATCTTCAACATACAGTAGAAATGATTTTCTCTCCAGTTAGTATTTTAGGATGGTGCCCCTACCCCTTAGCTCCCCTCTCTGCTCTGAGGTCCCATTTCTCTCAGTCTCTCTCTCCATACATCTACACGAGTGGCACTTAGCTTCAGATCCCAGGTCTACTCACTCGAGCTTGCAAGGCTGAGGCTCTAAAAATAGATGTGTAGATGTTGCAGCTTGGGATCTGAAGCGTAGGCAGTACCCAGCTCCAGCCAAAGCCGCAACATCTACACAACTATTTTTAGCACAGTAGCCTGAGCCCCGTGAGCCTGAATGTGTTGACCCAGGCTCTGGGACTCACTGCCACTTGTTGTGTAGACGAACCCTATGTCCCAAAGCAGAAAGCTTTCCTACAGATGCTTTTTCTTCCTCTCTTATTCTAGGCCCTCTCCCTCTTCTACAGGCCCTCTCTAGGGGGCTACTTGCAGACCTGGTGTAAGCTGGTGTAACTCCACTGTTTGGCTCAAGGTAGCCTGGGAAAGGACATCTACTACCAGTCTCAATCTCACTGCTTTAGTGAAGAACAAAATCTATCTCCATCAAGTTCAAGTGGTATTAAAATCTACTAAGACATGATTTCCCTTGCATGCTTTTAAGACCAGATAATGAATTTGTAGATTCAAATTCATAATAGTAAAGATACAGCCTCATGGCACTGGAATCCTGATAAGGATGAATGATCCTGGATGTTATTGTTAATCAAACAGATGCTCTGTGTAATGCTGGCTGCTATTCAGCTTTCTCTTTTGTCTTACATGGCTCAAATCTGACTGCTTAGTTTTTAGTTGTTGGCAGGTCAGAGGAATAATTGCATGCTGTAGTTACCTCTTTAATGTGCAAAAAGTCCTTGGCATCAAAAGAAATGGCAGTGCTTGGGACAGGAACATCTTCATCCAGTGCGCCACAGTAACTCACATTAGTCTTAACTGCAAACGCTACAGGTTTAGACTAGGAACAAAAAAACATGTCACAAGCATATTACAGAAGTGTTCTTGTACTTTTTAGATTCAAGACTTAGTGTGCTCACTGTGTCAAATTAAAAAATATGTATTTACTAGTCATGCATTGGCAATACGGCCAAATTCAGACCTAATGTAAGCGGACACAACTCCACACAAGTCAATGGAGTTCTGCTTGCTTACATCAGGTCCAAATTTGAGCCATTTGATTTGCTACAAAAGAGAATTGATCCATCAGTATCAATCCCCTTGTAGGATAATTCAAAGGAAGGTAATTCCTCCCTCCACAATGCACCCAGTGCAAGAAAATTCTTCCTTTGCAGAGATTGTTTTGTGTCCTAAGGCATGAGATGTGATGGAAGATCCTACATAAGATGTAGGCTACAAAGTACTCTAGAAAACTATAGAGTTCCAAGGCTTGGTTAATTCCTGCTGTAAAATGGGCTGTATGCCCTGAGTAGCAGGAAATTTGTGAGGAACACAGCATCACAAGGTACCTACAAAAACCTTTCTGCTGGGTGGCCAAGAGTTGCCTAAAACTTCCTCAAAAGTAGGTGAAGCTGACCAAGACAGTGGGGTGGCCAGAGCAACAGGGAGACATGCTGATTCAGACCTATGGAAAAGTCCTATGGAATTCAATAGGATGAAACTAGGAGGGTTCTACAGAAATGTAATAGGTGTTATAGAAATTAATCCAAAAATGTATAGAATTTAATAGAGAACAAGACAGCCTTTCTACGGGCTTTTTTAAACCACCTATAGAAGGGATAGAATTTTCTATTAAATTCAGTAGGACAGTCTAAAACCCCATAGAAAGTGTATCATTTTGAACAAGTCCCGTAAGGTTGGGAGCCTCTCCCAGCAGGGTTCCAACCATTCTCTGAAGTTGGCCTCCACTTGACGAACCCCTGGAAAAGTGTGGCCCTGAAAACACTGCCTGCTTTCCACTGATGGAAAATCCCTCTGGCATGTATCTATCCATACCCCCAATTTATTTTACTGTCACTGAAGTATCTGAATGCCTGACCCCTCTGGCACACCATTTGTCATCTGCAGCCCCTTTCTTCACAGGGTGAATCAAGCAACCAACATTTGAGAAACAAAAAAAAGGACTAAATTGCAGCCAATGGGTCAAAATCCTATGTCTGACTATATTGGTACAATGGCATTTGAAATGAATGGAACTCATGTGCATACATTACAGGGCAGTATTTGTCCCATTATATTTACATCCAGTCCATCCACAGCTCATCCATAGGGTGACCAACTGGACCAAATCCAAATTCAAAAGAGTCGAGTACATTGCTGTGAAAGTGTGGTAGAAGTCTCTTATGTTGTTCTCCTTTCCTTTCCCCTTAAGTAAAAGAGCCAAATTCCATTCTCATTTACACATCTAGGACCTACCAACACACACAAGGTTACATGGGTCTGACAGCAGGATTTGGCTTCATCTTTAAGTAGTATCTTCTTTGTGAAAATATTTGGTATTTCCCCCTCTAGCATCTTGTAGTTGGTTGCCAAGCTATTTTCAAATTATATGATCACCGTTATAAACCTGTAGAAAGAATTCTAACACTATGCAAAGGCTGACGTGCCACCAAATGCCATATAACTTTGCTATTATTAAAGCTGAAAAGAAGAACTCACCTTTGCCCTTTCAAGCTGAATAGCTGCTTGCTGTTCTCTCTCCTGGCGAATTGCTTCTCTGTCCTCTTCCAAAGATACATCAGAATCTGATGGTCTGCTTGTGTATGAATCTGCTGATCCCTAAAAAGAAGAGCACATCGTTAAGAAAAATTATATACTGCTTAGAAGAATCCAAGCCAAACTCACAAAACATTGCTCAAGTGTTTATTTCCTGAATTTTGTTATGTAGATTTTGTGTTTTATTTCTGATAGGAAATTGTACAGGACATAGCTAGGAATTTAAGTAGTTTTATAATTTTTATTTTTCTGCAAAACACAAAATTCCAAAGGAAATCTCTCTCTTTTTCAGAACTTGTGCAATATCTTAGTCTCTCTTATGGGTATGCATCATAAGGCAATCAGCACTGGGAACAGCAAACAACCTATTACAAGATTTAAATCCTGTTTGATAGCCTTGGATTAAAGATCAGCTCTCCGTTAAAGGTTACATCACATCAGATAGAATCAGATTATTAGATGTCTCAGTTAAAATCTCTTCTCTATGTAAATATATTACTGATATATAAATACTTTACTCAGTACCCAGCAGCACTCAGACAAAGAATTATTCTATGCATCATACCTAAACACAAATGTATGTGAATCAAGAAGCAAAAGTGGCCAAATGCCAGAACATACTATTTAAAAAGTTATTTGACAATGGAACACATAAATCCAAATGCATCCTATGCAATACCATGAGATAGGGATGATATATGAACCAGAAGGGGTATACATCAGTCTGCAAGGGGGAGAAACAGGATATACTTTACAGTAAGATGTCTTGTTCAAGTCACCATTCAGGATGGGTGGCACAATCTAAAACCAGTAGTGTTTTTACACTCCCCTTTATAATAAACAACTTGACACCGAGGTCCTGATTCTGCAATTAGATTGGCACAAATGTACCTTCATGCCTGCATGGATCCAATTGCAGGATAGGGGCCCGATTTTGTAAGAAAGACAAAAGAATGTACAAAGTATTTGAAAATATTATTAATCTAAAAACCAAAATAGACCCCAGATGCCTAGCAAAATTAGAGCTCAATTCTACTTGCATGACTCTTCATTCGAATGAAGATGTGCCTTATTTCTAAAAATGGTGTTAAAAAGGCAAGTTAATTTTTTTTTTGTAGTGGCCAGATCCTGCAAAATGCTACGCATGCTAAACTCTAGGATTTGGTCCTATAGTCTAGTAAATCTCGCCTGGCAAGGATATGCACATGGCAGTTCTATTTCCCAAACAGGAGGAATGTCTATTTTTATACTTGTTTAGGTGAGTAATGCCTTTGCTACGAAACTTCCTTCCTCTTTCTGCACTTGATCCTGTGCCCAATGAAATTCCCAATCTTCCACTGACTCCAGTGATTCAGAATCAGGTACTATTTGGTTTGGAATTCGATTAATTTGTATTTAGTTTAATTTATCAGCACCCAGCAATGGCGGCGGTTAATTTTATTTCAGTTAGAGATTCTGCATTGTTATGACACACGGTGGGTAGCTTTGCACAATTACAAATTTTTGAGGTTCTGAATTACAAACTCGAATGCAATGGCAATTAATACTTTAAATATCAGCACATAATATATAAAGTTTAGGGTACAAGACCATATGTAAATGGCATAATTTAGTCCCACTAACACATTTTTATATTTACATATTTTGTACATTTATGAGTTCAGAAAAGCACAATGCTAGGACCCTAATAGTACAAACAAAACTATCCTTGCATCCATTATAAAACCCAAGTCAATGGGGCTGCACAAGAGTCTATCCATGCAGATCTCCATGCAGAAGCTGGATGTAGTACCGTACAATAACAATCAAAAGCCCCGTAGGAACTCTACACCACACCGTTTGTGACCATTGCTGTAAAATATTATAGAATTTTATAAGAGAGAAGCATTAATTAACTGGATCTTCTGTATTTAGTGAAGTGTTGGCCAATAAGTACAGCAACACATTTCTAAGTGATCACATTTTCAGTAGCAAACTGAAAAAAATCATCTTCTCATCCAGGAAAGCCATTAACAATCTATTTTTGTCAAATGGATGACTATTTTGTCTCATCACAATTTTTAGAAGAGTTTTAAATTAACTCATGACTCAACCAATTCAGATGCAAGTACATTAAAAAAGCCTTTTAAAAACTAATCTTCACTGCTATGATAAATAGTATCCTATTTATTCTATGGTGATGTCATTTCAGTATATTTTCGAGTCTGAAGCTATTTAACAGCATAACTGTATTTGGCAGTGAGCTTAGACAAGTAAAATAAGTAGAGACTGAGGAGAAATCAACAGTAATTCTCAGAACTCTCATCATAAACTCCACTTAAGTACAGCAGCATTCAGTCAGGTATGCTCTGATGTAAGTATCAGACATACCCAAAGGAATATTCAAAGCTGTGAGATTTAAAGAAACATTGTGATGAAGTTTTGGAACAAAATGATTATAACAACTTAGTTAGACAGGCTGTACACCCAATATTTTAAGGACATATATTGGTTAGACAGCTAGCTACTTCAGTTAAAAACAAAGCACCAATGGCGTAAAACATATCTGCATCTCTGTCTGGAAATCACAGCGCTTGTGCAGTGATCCTGTCTACTAAAGTAACACACGGGCTGATATTCAAAGGCAGACTCTGACTTTGTGCCTGCGTTCTCACACCCACAATAACTGAAGCCACAAGTCTAAGAGAGCAAATAATTGTGGGCAAATAAGTGCCCAGAGATTTAAGTACCTGATTGCACCTGCAAATGATTTGGGGCATATTTTATTACAAAGATATTTGCGTATGTGATTGTCAGCAAAAAGTCAAGAAGTTGAGTTTGTAGTACTGCCAACCCCAAGGATTCCAAAATCGTGACACTGGAATAAAAATCATGCAATTTTAAAAATTAGATATTTGGGGGGTTTGATTTGCCTTCTATTTTGAGCTTTTAGGCTTCCCATTTTGTAGCGTCTCTCTACATCCACAAGGATTCGAAACTTACTTTTGTTTAGATGAAAGCGGAGATTCTCATGTAATCATATGACTCCAGCGGCTGGGGCTTGAGGAGAAACATCAAATATGGCAAGACTCGCAAACAATGTTGTGAGAATTGGCAACACTGCATTATAGGCCTATTTTTGAAAACTAGAGCCAAAAAAAAAGTACTTTGTGGTACTGATTCTCTGTAGCATCTTACTACTTTCCCTCCAGCTTCAGACCTTTCAAAGACCGTATTACGTTGTTTTGAGTATGGAGTGTTTCATGTAGACATGGTTAAGTTGCCATTCCCTCTACTATCACATACAGTGTTCTTTGTAGCCATAGTAATTAACATTCTACAGGATATTGTACTGGTATAGGCCTGAATCATCAGGTGCATCTTATGTTTGCTTGGTGCACCTGGGGAGAAGCCAAGTGGCTTCCCTCCACTTCCCTGCCCCCCTGTTGGGGGTCTACAGTTTGTCTCCCAGTGCAATTTAGAGCGGCCTTTACACCTGCAGAGATCTCTGAAGTGTAGCAAGATCTGGCTGTGCCTCCTTCCATGCCTCTCTCAACTCTGACTCACCTTTTGGAATGGGGTGGGAGAGGATGAGAGGAGCCGACTGTATCCCAGCCAAGGTTTTCTCCAACAACAGACATCCCTAGCTTCTTTTAGCTTTAATCCCCTTTGCCTGAGTGTCACAAAGGGGACTTAGTGGGGCTGAGGATCTGGCCCATAATACACACATCAAACCTTACATTGTATTATCAGCTCTAGCAAGAGGCATTGGCAGTTTTATATCGCTGGACAATAAAGCCATTCACTTACTTAAAGGTATATTCTCCGCCTCCCTTTGTTACTCGTTTTCAGTTCCTTAAGTCATACTGATGACAAACCAGAACAAAATCAGTTCTTCATTCTTATTAGCATATATCTAAGGGTGGACTTCTCCAGCCACCTGAAGTTCCTGACAGGGATGTTTTGGCCACAGGCCTTCTCCAAATGGATGAAATTGAACATGCCGCAAGGAGACTATTAAAAACAACAAGGAGTCTGGTGCACCTTAAAGACTAACAGATTTATTTGGGCATAAGCTTTCGTGGGTAAAAATCTCACTTCTTCAGATGCATAGAGTGAAAGTTACAGATGCAGGCATTATATACTGACACATGGAGAGCAGGGAGTTACTTCGCAAGTGGAGAACCAGTGTTGACAGGGCCAATTCAATCAGGGTGGATGTAGTCCACTCCCAATAATAGATGAGGAGGTGTCAATTTCAGGAGAGGAAAAGCTGCTTCTGTAATGAGCCAGCCACTCCCAGTCCCTATTCAAGCCCAAATTAATGGTGTTAAATTTGCAAATGAATTTTAGTTCTGCTGTTTCTCTTTGAAGTCTGTTTCTGAAGCTTTTTTGTTCAATGATAGTGACTTAAATCTGTAAGAGAATACCCAGGGAGATTGAAGTGTTCACTTACTGGCTTTTGTATGTTACCATTCCTGATGTCCGATTTGTGTCCATTTATTCTTTTGCGGAGGGACTGTCCGGTTTGGCCAATGTACATGGCAGAGGGGCATTGCTGGCACATGATGGCATATATAACGTTAGTAGATGTGCAGGTGAATGAGCCCTTGATGGTGTGGCTGATGTGGCTGGGTCCTCTGATGGTGTCGCCAGAGTAGATATGGGGACAGAGTAGGCAACGAGGTTTGCTACAGGCATTGGTTCCTGGATTGGTGTTTCTGTGGTGTGGTGTGTAGTTGCTGGTGAGTATTTGCTTCAGGTTGGGGGGTTGTCTGTAAGCGAGGACTGGCCTGCCTCCCAAGGTCTGTGAGAGTGAGGGATCATTTTCCAGGATAGGTTGTAGATCGTGGATAATGCGCTGGAGAGGTTTTAGCTGGGGGCTGTATGTGATGCCCAGTGGTGTTCTGTTATTGTCCTTGTTGGGCCTGTCCTGTAGTAGGTGATTTCTGGGTACCCGTCTTGCTCTGTCAATCTGTTTCCTCACTTCCCCAGGTGGGTACTGTAGTTTTAAGAATGCTTGATAAAGATCTTGTAGGTGTTTGTCTCTGTCTGAGGGGTTGGAGCAAATTCGGTTGTATCTT